TTATTAATAATTATAAAATTATTCCATTCTTTGGGACCCTTGGTCTGCAACACATGGCCTGGATCAGGCACACCTTAGTTTCTAGACTGATATTGCTTCTTAGTACTATGCATCAGAGAGCTGGACAATGACTAATGATGACAGAAGAATCTATGCCTTCAAGTTGTGCTGGAGAAGAGAATGCCATGGACAAATAGGTTTGTCTTGGAGAGGGTGAAATCAAGTTTCTCCTTGGAAGCTAGGAGTTTGAAGCTCCATTTCACATACTTTGGACACGTGGCCAGGAGGGACTGGTCCTTGGAGAGGGACATTGTGCTTGGAAGGATGGAGGGATAGCCCAGGAGAGGAAGACCCCAATGAGACGGATTGATACTATAACTAGGGTAATCAGTGTGGGTGTGTTGGAATCAGTGAGACTGGCTCAGGACAGGGCAGGGTTCAGAGCTGTTGTACACAAGGTTGCCATGAGTCTCAGACGACTTGATGGCACATAACAACATAGAAAAAAATTCTACCATGCGATCTTCAACCTCATTTATGTCACCAAGACCCTGTTGTCCACTACCAATCCTTTGTTTCAACTTTTATATTCTGTTGTTATGTACCACGGAGTCAGAAACAAGTCATAAGTGCCCCTCCAGAGGGTTTTCAGAGGCAGTTAATTGAGGGGAGGAGATAGCCTGTCCTCCCACGGAGCAGCTGGTGGATTCAAACCCTGCGCCTTTAACTGTCTGTTCAGTCACTTTCAGACTGTAAAAGTTAGTAGAAATCCTCCATTTCCTGATCTTTGGCTTAGTGGTTGGTGTATTTGAATAATGGTTGTATTAAGAGGTCTTTGTACAGATAGTATACTAGCACTCACAGCACTCCACTGAAGGATAGATCTTCAAACATTTCCCCCTCCCACTGTTGTCAGTGGTCATTTCTATTGTCTGATTCAAGTGACCAACATCAGACCATCTCAGCTCACTAATGCCTAGAATGTCGATCTTTATGTGTTCCTTTTCATTTTTGGCAACTCGCAATTTTCCTAGGTTCATGCTTCATATACTCCACGTTCCAATTATTAATGCATTATCTATAGCTGCTTCTCCTCATTTGGGGTTTTGCAACATCAGTAAATGACAGTGCTCCAATGAGCGGAATCTTTACTCCACCTGCGTCACTAAGCAGATTCTCCTGGGGAGGCAGCTCTCCCCAGCCCCGATTGGAGTGTCATCTAAGCTGAGGGGTTCACCTCCCAGCTCTACACCCAACAGTTCTCCTGATGTCCACAGAACGTGTGAAGGTCTGTGATTTCACAGTGGGTGGTTAGTCCTGATTCTTGGTGTGTCCTAGTCTGGAGGTCCACTAAAGGCTGCCTGTCATAGTTACCTTGCTGGTGTTTGAAACACAGCGACATTGGGAGCTCCCAGAATCACAGCCACAAAGCCACCACAGTCCAGCAGAGGGACATACGAGTGGTGCAACAGTCAGTTGTTGTTGTTAGATGCCATCGAGTCCACTACGACTCAGAGTGACCCTGTGGACCACAGATCCGAGCCCTGTCCTAGCCTGGGTCATCCTGTGGACCAAAGATGTGAACCCTGTCCTATCTCGTGGACCACAGATCCGAGCCCTGTCCCAGCCTGGGTCCTCCTTATCATCTCTGACATACTCAAGCCTGTGGCAATGGCAATGTTCATGTAGAAGGTTCAACAGATACGTTATGACAGGGTGCTTGTTTCTTGGTTTATAATCTGCAAAGCAGTGTAAGATTTTCAGACTAGAATGAAGATGTGGGTAACCTGCAGATCTTGTAACATCGATTTTGATTCACCAGGGGTGACCTGTGTTTGAGATTCCATGTATCTGTGAAAGTACAAATTTATGTTGAAAGTAATACACACATAGAAATAGAATGAGAATGAAGGCTAGCTGTGCTGGTCATGAACTGAATTGTGTCCCCTGAGAATGCCCGGCTATCCTGCTCTGATAAACCAAATATCTGTAGAGGATTAAGGTTGGATACAATGCTCCTTAATTCCATCAAAGCCCTCATCAGACATAGGTGTCCTCTGCCCTGGATCCTTAATACCTTTTATCCTACTAAATAAATAGGGATTTCCATTGGCCTATAAGGAGCTCTGATGGCCTAGAGGCAAGAAGCTGCACTGCAATTCTAAAGGCATGTGGTTTGAGTCATGAGCTGCTCCGTGGTAGAAAGATCAATCTCTTTCTGTGCAATTAAAGTGCCTCTGAAAACCTGCTGGAGGGTCAGCTACGGGTCAGTTCCAACATGATGGTACACAACAACTACACTGGCC